CGCGCAAGGATCAAACGATCGGTCCGTTCGCGTTTGTTAAGTTCTACATTTACACGGTCACGCGGAGAAACGCGCGCACTCGCGATCGTGTGTCTAACGGAACGCAGACTGCACTAAATTCCATCGTCCAATTGCATTGCGGACAGCAGCAGAGCGAAACGGTCACACTCGCCCGATGTATAGACGCGTGGCTGATTGGAAAGACAGGAGAGCCTAAACATATACCTGTGTAGTTAGCGCGTTCGCGTTAACAGAGCTTTTCAGTTTGCGATTCCGGATACCTCTCGAGCCTCGTCGTACAGTAATTAACGACACGTTAAACTAAAACTGCCATCGCAGTGTACGTGTCTGCGCTACTGTGGCAGAAGTATAACGTTTTCAGAAGATCTCAATTTATATAGTACTTTGCGTTAGATCTCTCTGACAAAGCATAGACAGCGAACACGTAGGGCCAAATGGAAATCGAGTTGCGGATGTATTTGCATTAATCAAGTCTCGGTATTGGAACGGATGAGAGGTCAATGAAGTACGAGGCGAACGATATTCATGACTTAGTCTGTTAATTTACTTTTGCCGTCCACTTTCCTAGCGCCTTTTTACAATCCGATTTGCTAGTACAATTTCAAATTTTCCTAGCTGATCGAATCATTAAAAGTAGTATTAGTAAAACAATTTAGTAGTAATTTAGTAAACAAAAGTAGTATTAGTAAAACCAAGTAGTAGTAGTAAAACGATTGAGAGTATAAATCCTTTCTTTACGTTATCGCAATTAATATATTATATTTGACTAAATAAATGTCGTGAAATTAGAGCCGCTGGATGCTGGTATTAAAATCGAAAATTAGACTGGTTGGTATGAGACCGATGGTAGACGACCGGCGCAAAAGTGGAGCATGGGTCAATATTACGCGCGCGCAAGTAATATCGCGTAACGTGTATACGCGGCGTTATTGCGCGAAAATCCTCGGCAGCCGTTAAAAAATGCGGAATGCCTTCGTCTCGTTTCGGATCGATATATCGGGCCGACGTGGGAGAAATGCCTGTCGGAGATAGCCGCGTCTCTCCCGACCGGTGCATACACGCATCCAAGTACAACCGACTGTGTTAACCACCGTTTCTTTATCGAAACAAAGTGTTCTCGCTAGCATATGTACTACACGACACGTGTATGTACGTGGCAGACTAAAAGCGCGTTCGTAGTGTAACTACAGAGCAAGAAACCCGTTTGACGCACTTTTAGAGGCGCGCGCGCGAACATTGGAGGGGGATGCATCGTGCCAGGGGCGCAGCATTCAATGCGGGGAACCCTTTTTCCGTTTCTACAGAACGGGAATCGTTTGTGTACCGAGTACGACTGGTTTTTGTACGTACCGGGTGATCCGTTGAAAAGGGAGACTCGCGATCGTGATCTGCGCGTCGGGCGACGGTAGTTCGCGTGTTCACATAGAAACACGAACGAATTTTGGAGAAATGGTTACGTGTTTGAACGTTTAATGTTACGAACACACGAGATTGATAGCTCGTCAGTAATTTGTGAACAAGTTTTTAATTGAATGATAGTTAGTAACGGAATCGTTAGAACAATTATTTGAGCAACGCTCGTTATATTACGTTAATGATGCAAACAATGATAAATCGTTGCCGGCTGGATCGGTAAATTTACATTTACATAGTAAACAGCAGGGTTACAATACTAGATACCTACAATTTCCATATCACCGGTAAAACCAGGATTTCTGTTGAATGTATAAGATTCTGTTCGTTATCTGTGGTTTCTGAATATTCGGTTCGTTATTTACGTAATGGAACTGTCGGAAAATAAATCATGGAAAAAGTTGTGTTACGAATCGATGCTGCCTTCCAAACGTGAATTAATTCTGCGTTCTTTGGTCTTAAATAATGCTTGATAGAATCAGATATACAATGCACGTGTGTTCTACTCTAAAAAATTAATGTTTTTCTGTCTCTGATTTATATTTTATTCACGAAACATAGGACCATATCTCAGACTACGTTTTATCGTAGTAGATAACAGTGATTAGATTTCTGTTATAGCAATTCAGTGGAAAAGAAATCGTCATTTAACATGAGGAAAAATATTCAGGTATTTCGATTAGCCTAGCAGATTCTATTAATAAATCTTGTCTTCTTCTAACGCGATTGCATTCGAATACTTATTGTTTTCTTCGGTGGTAAAACGAGCGATCGAACATAGTTAATCACTGTTGAAAGCCATTAACGATAGGATAGTTCTTTGCTCGTGAAAAGATAGTTTATAAAGTTGAGAACAATGCAGCTCGGTTAAGCAAATGACACTAATAGAAGCGTAGATCACTGTTAAAAGGGCATCAATCAGCTACAGTTATGTTCGTTTAATAATGACGCTAATTGTTCGGCGTTACGTTTGATAAATATCTCGTCTGATATTCGAACTGGCACAGACTTAGTGCAGTTCAGTAAGTAGCGAAACTAGATTGTCCTTCGGCATGACTAAAGTTCCTTTCTATGTGTCATGGTTGCTGTTGATCTAATTCGTTATCGGTACTAAATTTGTTCATGCGTTGCTACTCTGTCGCAGTAGCTTGGAAAATCCACTTTTTCTACGTTCGCTGTAAGCTAATAAAATTATCTTGGAGAATATTCAAGATGCATTTAAAAAAAAAATCTTGTTCGATTGTAGATATCATTGATAAAATTAATACAGTAATAAGTGTCATTGAAATTTTTAATTTGCAGTTCTTTGAATTAATATCGTCAATTTCTTGTACGTATTTTTATGAGCCTCAAGCAACGTTGGGATTGATTCCTAGAAAAGTTCGCTTGATATTTCCTTATTTCTTTGTTCTTCGTAACAGCAGATTTATTGCTCAATTGTTAACGTATTTTCTTAATTTAGAAAATTTGTCTTTCTTTTTAAAATTCCTTTGAAAGTCCACCTAGTATGGTTTGTTAAATGATACTTAAACTCTAAGTTATTTGGAAAGTGGTCAAACAATTCCTTAACTTGGACTATCAGCAAATGTAATGGAAAAAGGATCAAAGTAAAGGTAAATGCATGCTCGAGCTTTGTAGTTCGAAAGCCATCTCGCAGTAGCGGAATTGACCTTTGTCTCGGCATTCTAACCGAGGATCGTGCAAGCTCAAAAGGGACAAAGCTGTAAAAGGCAATAGGAAAACAAATTAGATCCCGCAGATGTACTCGCACGGTCCCGTTACGTCGTACAGTTTTCGTGCTAGTTCCGAAGACATTGCGCTCGCACTTTTAGGTATTTATTGCCTGACCTGAAAACTGAACGCGCCCGAAGCCTTAGCTAGAAAGTATTACACTTAATTTTCTCGGAATGACTAACATTTCGTAACCGTGGATCCCTTTTCCTGCAGTTTATTACAATTTTATCGTCGGAATTTCGTCGCGAACGGGCCTCGTAACCCTTTAATTCGATCCCGAGCGTAAATGAGCTCACAAGTTTTAGTAGATAAAGCGCGAAGACTGACCGATAAGCGTGGATTTTTATTCGCATGGGACAGAAGTCGCGTGACAGAAGGAAATCATGAGATTTCATGGATGATGAAATGAGAAAAGGAACGAGCATGGAGTAAAATTTTCTTCGGGTTAAGACATAAAGGAGAGTAAGGAATTTTGATTCAAGTGATTTAATGAACATTCTGTAATAAATTCATGAATTCTCTTCTTAATAATCTACATCGTGTGTTACACCGTGGCCACGTTGAAGAACGAGTCACGATTATTAAACTTATTATAGTCGCTGTCGCGGAGTTTCTTTGTGGCAGAAAGTTATATTTAAGTGGGTTCTATACACGTGCCTGTAATGAGGAAGCGGTTCGTTACAGGCAACAAAGAACTGACAGCCAATGATACAGCACGCTCTTATCCTCGCGCTGCGAGCCTTGAAAATAACGTCAATCTAAAACGGAATTTTCTATATGCGTACTCGAGGTAAATCGAAATACGGAGAGGCTACACGGATTCTTACGGAATACGCGCGCCGGTGGACGCGCGTATTTCACGCTTCTCGGAAAGCTGTACGCATCATCCTAACGACGATAATGCTCGCACTTCATTGTTTCTATTATCGGCGGTTTTTACGAAAATAGAATTCGCCACGCGAATCGTCATTAGGAAGAATTATAGCGTCGCTCTCCTTGATCCTCTAACTTTGCCAGAATCGTTAAACTCCGGCTACGTTTGCCCGGCAATTGTGTTTCGCTTATTTCCGAGGTGCTTTGATGTTAGGGCCATTTGGAGTTTAGATGGATGTTTATTCTTCGCCTTTCTATTTTTGTTAGCTCCCAGATGGTGAATCTTATGGTCTCTCTCGTCAAATATTTTATTGTCTCCTGGTGTTACAGCGGGGAGAATATTCAATTTATTTGAAGAATTTATTCCGTATTCTGAGTCTATTCGTTATTACGAAATTGTTTATATTATTCTGAATAAAAATAGTCCTAAGTAAAAATTAATTTCAAGTGGTGAAAGTTTATCGTATGATTACTTGTTTTCGAACCGCGGTTGAAGTAGATAATGTTTGCATTCAGATAAACAGAGATAATGGAATAGGAGAGGAGCCAGGCACACAATGATACTACTCTCAAGTGCTATTTGAATAATTGAAATCTTTGCATCCGATCCTCAGTCTTTTGTGGTTACATAAATAGCCTTTTATTATACGTTTTCTATCGGTTATGCATATTCAACGAGATGCAGTTGAAAGCAATTGCTTTTTGTTAGATGCAGTCGAAAAGCAATGAAGTAAACGATTACTTTGTATAATTTTGAATACCAGGATGAAAACCAGGGATATTAGTCAAGTGCAGAAATAATTATCCACGATATTGCATTATACAAATTTTTTTATTCGCCAAGTTTCGTACAAATTTCTATGTGAAAGATAGAGAAAGTCTTTTGTGCGAAATCACTATAAGTACTTAATTCTTCGATGATCGGTTCATAATGCGAAACGTGTTTGCTTTGATTGCAGTGCAAGGACTGAAGACACCTGGGAGCGTTTGAAAAGCACGTTCCACAGACCCCTCCAACCAAAATCACTCGCCTAACCTTTCCCCTGCCCACCTTCTCCTGCCTCTCATCCTTTCCCTTCCCCCGCAAATCTCAAGAGGACCTCCCGTCTCGATCACAGCATCTGTGACTCCATTATGGACAGTATGGACAACAAACCAGTTTTGAACGATGACCCGTCGGTCACCCTGACCATCCGCCTGATCATGCAGGGCAAGGTAAGAGAGACTCTTGGTTACGCTGTTATTAATTAACGCCGGTATATCGCTTCGTTAAGCTTTTGGCCCTTTGAGATCTGAAATACCTCGTGGAAATTGAACGCAGAATAATGAACTACACATATAGCTTCCATTTTATAATTTTTTATAATAAAAAAATAATAATTATTAATCGAAGGAATGTTTTAATTGCTAAATTCTGGAAATATTCTACACTACTTAATAGTTTGAAACACGTCAGTAACCATGATTATATTATACAACTAGCCTAGAGGTAATTGCACGCGCTGTACTTTTGTTGAAATTTCACTGAAGTTCAGGTTGCAAACAGATCGAATCGCCAAAAGCAACGAACCGGATTTGTTCTACGTACTAGTTCGTACTGCCCCGCGTTGATTTTGGTTTACCGTTTAGCACCGAGTAGTTCGTTAATTGTCGGTTCTAAACATACGGTTCATTTATTTGATGTTGCATACACATCCTCCGTGCGCAACGCCCACAAGACATTAATCTCATCGTTACCAATTGACAGTTACCCTAGTTTTTTGACTGCATCCTGCCAGTTCTAACTAAATTGCATTCCGTTCCACCTAGCTGGGAACTATCTCAGATAGATGTATCAATTATAATAATCTGAATCATACAAATTTTCCCGTTTATCATCGTTGTTTAAAATATTTTTCATTTCTTGATTATTGGCAGCTTACACTTGATTGACGTAACACGTACATATAAGAGATTGGCATTCTGTAAACGTGGCTCTTAGTCCAAAAGCGTTCTTCTTCTGCCTGAGAAATTAATGTTATCACAGGTGAATAGAATTGTGCATGTAACAATTACGTAAATAGAACACGTGATACGAATTCATTTAACATTCGAAGACAAGTTGGAAGGATGAACCTCCTGGGATAGGCGTTGCACAATATTGCACAAAAACACACATTTGTCACACAGCTACTCGTTTACATCGCGAAGCCCGTATTTGTGTTGTAATTACGGAATTCAAATTATTCCCGTGCTAATAGCAGCTACATATTTGTTAGACTTTCGCGTTAGAACGAAACTCACGTTATATTTCCAATTTGATGTTCGTTTATTTATTTAACTACGAAGGGAATTTTGTGTACGTGTTTGTTTTGTAATGGTATATGTGGAAAATATTTTCGAAGCAATTTTCGCCTTTAAACGAGACCGCATTCGGCGCCGCGGCATGGAACTATTGCCAGAATATGTTTCATTGTTGAGATATAACTACGGCGTTGTACGTCTGTTGCTCGAATCCCGACGAGAATCAGGAGCGTGAGCAATGCCCGTGGCCGCGTGCAAGCACGCGACGAGCTTGCGCAAATCGCGTGCAAAATTCCGGAAACCGCCCGAAAGATCGTCATTAGCGTTCTCTCCGTGCTGTTCCCGGTCTACGATCCTTGTGAGATATTCCACCGTTAACGCCTCGGGAATATTTCCGAGATGGAATTCAGAAAGAGGGGCAGAATTCAATTTAAAAATATCAATATTCCTGCTCGCGTCCCGAGATAATGCGACGTTTAAATTACAGTTGACTTTTAATATCGGATAAAGAACTAAAAGGTGAAACGCAAATCTTACTTTCCCAACGAATGGATTATTCATTTTCACGGCCAGCCGCTATTGTGTTCGTTTATACTCACTTTTAAATATACATTTTCCGCATTCCAACAGGTAGTTTTAACGATTAACAAACATTTTCGTTGGTGTCGTGCGTTTATCAACTGGAATTAAATAAGTGTGGGCAGTAAGGTTATTTTCCAATCAAATGGGAATTTAGATAAAACAATTTTAGAATGGTAAATAAACTAGGACGACGGTACGCAAATATGTATGCACGCGCGGACTTGAAAATTTCATTCATGCGGATATATCTACGTCAAACGGTAAATCCTCATCCGTTCACCGGTTTTTATTTCAACTCGAAAGCCCAGGTAGAAGTTAAAATTGCTTTTCCTGACCATCCGTTCGTTCAATTGTACACCGCGTGGTTCCACCGGTAATAAAACTGGCTGCTTGTAAAACGGCGAGTATTCCTTCGTTCGTGTTCTGATGGATGATACAATTGCTCAAGCATTGAATGGCTCTAATCATAAGTGTTCTAGTAATAAATATAATATCGTTTGCCAGAAATCAGAACTGAATAAGAATTAGAGATCCTGGAATTCGTTTGTTCTCTTTGCTCATGAACGACGAAATTGGCGAGATTCTTTTCTCTTATTATGGACCTCTCAACTCGTTTCTTGGAGGTCGCTCGTGGTGGTGAATGGTCGCGGTTGAAAACCGGAAAACAAGGAGCAGCTCGGATCGGGTCGAGAGAGCGAACCCGTGTCGAGAGAATAAAATAAAATGGTGAAACGAGGAGTGTCGGGGCGTCTTCTTGGCACACGCGCGGCAACCGATTTATTATTGACTCGGGTCATGGATAGGCGAGAGAGTCGACTTCCACGAAAAAAGCAAATCGACCTGTCGCCGCTCCGTTTCCGGTCCCGGCCTCCGAGAGTCAAAGACCTCGCGTGGCTCCCTACGTTTTACGTCCGAACGTTTGTTCCTCACTTATTTATACTTCGCATCGATCATACGCGATGATGGATCAGCGTAATTAAGTTTTTAAACCGACGAGCCGGCCGCGTGTTTCGCCTAGTTTTTTAATCAACGTCAAATTTATTCTACGGTGCGCTGGTTACGTAACAAGCATTTCACTGTACTGGTAGAGGATTAAGTGGGCAGGGGAATCGGATTCATAATTGTGCACGTAACTTTCCGTAACGAAGATAGAGGAGAAATAAAACTCGTTCTCCGATGTTGCATGCCGGCGAGAAGATGGTAATGTTACAAACTGAATCAGTAGGTTCCGAATAATTAAATGTTCATGTTTACCAGCGTTTAACGTCGGCCCGGATCGTAACGGAGTTATAATGGGGAAATGAGCATGAACGAATCATTAAGAAATAAAGAGTTTCAATCTGTTTCGCAGGATTCAATTATGGATTTTAGTTGAGCAACCGAAACAGCATTTCTCTTTCTATTCTGATGAAAGTTCGCTGCGATCAAATAAAACAACAACCTGTTCTTTCGAACAACAGCGATTTCGAATTGCGCGATCATATCATTATGTGTACGTTTCCAGTACTGTTGAAGTAATCACTGAATTAATTTTATTACGATTTCACGGTTGAACAATGTAACAAGGACGAAGGAATATCCACGAATGCAGATCGATTTTATTATAATATAATTGCATGGAAATTAAACAGCAATCGAACGACACGGACGTATTTCTATTTACTACGTCTTGTTAATAAAATCATGCTAAAGACGGTAATAAAAACAAAAAACCAGTGAAAATAAGATTCGTTTGGAAATGTAACGGGCCAACGTGAGAGACGTGCGATCCGGCGAGAATCTGACTGTCTGCCAAGAATTTGAACTTCCTTCCCTTCGCCGATGCGGCGGCCTTCCATTTCTATTTTTTAGCCAATGAATAAATCACAATGCATCGTTACGCTAACAGTTTCGCAACCATTACGCTCTCCTATCTGATGGCATCGTTCTAAAATCATCCGGACACTTGTTCACCTTTAACGCCCGCATGATTTAATTACAAAATCGCTATGAAATTTTCGAGGAGTGTTACGTACACCGTTCGGGTAATCAAACGAGGTTCTAATCATAGTAAGCGATAGTCGGTCTAATTAGGGATCGTCGAAAATCTCTGCTGGTTTAGAGAGTTACGAGGTTTTCTAATTAGGTTGACGACGTGTAATTGCATCACATTCTCCGGAACGAGCGTGCTCGCTTAAAGCTCCGATTCGGGAGTTCGCTATATTTCTTCCGTCGAGGAGCCGCGATGGTATTCGGACGATTTCACGATCTATTACGATCCTATTACCGTGTCGAAGTTCACCTGTTCAGCGTTGAGTCGACGTGTAGCCGCGTCGCGAGATGCCGCGCTACCGTCTAGATCTGTAATTAATTGCCGGGTCGGCTCGTTGTCGCGGCACCGGCAATTAATGTCCGCCGTCTTAGCAATTAATCGTTCCCCGGTGGACGTCGAACGAACCGCCTGGCCCTGTTTGAACATCTTTTTGCGGCTACTCGCATTGTGCTACTCTTGCTAGCTCGTGGAACTGTCTCAAGATGCGCGCACCAGAAATCAGAACTGAATAAGAATTAGAGATCCTGGAATTCGTTTGTTCTCTTTGCTCATGAACGACGAAATTGGCGAGATTCTTTTCTCTTATTATGGACCTCTCAACTCGTTTCTTGGAGGTCGCTCGTGGTGGTGAATGGTCGCGGTTGAAAACCGGAAAACAAGGAGCAGCTCGGATCGGGTCGAGAGAGCGAACCCGTGTCGAGAGAATAAAATAAAATGGTGAAACGAGGAGTGTCGGGGCGTCTTCTTGGCACACGCGCGGCAACCGATTTATTATTGACTCGGGTCATGGATAGGCGAGAGAGTCGACTTCCACGAAAAAAGCAAATCGACCTGTCGCCGCTCCGTTTCCGGTCCCGGCCTCCGAGAGTCAAAGACCTCGCGTGGCTCCCTACGTTTTACGTCCGAACGTTTGTTCCTCACTTATTTATACTTCGCATCGATCATACGCGATGATGGATCAGCGTAATTAAGTTTTTAAACCGACGAGCCGGCCGCGTGTTTCGCCTAGTTTTTTAATCAACGTCAAATTTATTCTACGGTGCGCTGGTTACGTAACAAGCATTTCACTGTACTGGTAGAGGATTAAGTGGGCAGGGGAATCGGATTCATAATTGTGCACGTAACTTTCCGTAACGAAGATAGAGGAGAAATAAAACTCGTTCTCCGATGTTGCATGCCGGCGAGAAGATGGTAATGTTACAAACTGAATCAGTAGGTTCCGAATAATTAAATGTTCATGTTTACCAGCGTTTAACGTCGGCCCGGATCGTAACGGAGTTATAATGGGGAAATGAGCATGAACGAATCATTAAGAAAT